CCCAAACCGTTCTGTGACTCTGTGGTTTTGCCAGAAAATTCCCTCCCAGCCCTTTGCTGGTTGCTGTTAACTAACATCCATGCTGTCCTCCAAACACTTAAAGCCCACTCTGTCTTGTGTGGCTTTCTCTGGACGCGGGCCTTCGCGGCAATGGCTTCTGCAGGGGGGTTTGTGAGATGCTCAGGCTGCAGGGAGCCAGCAGCGGGGCTTTTTCTTTCCTCTCCGTGGCTCACAACGCAGCACACACGGGCTGGGAGCTCCGGGGGCACCGCAAGCCTCCAGGCTCAGGGGACAGCAAAGCTTTTCTTTCCTTTTACCCTTCGCTGCGCGTTACTCAACACGTATTTCTGCTCTCCTTTTGCCGTGCTGTTAGCCCAGCGATCAGCTTTGCCCCCTCATTGAGCTCAGCGGGAGGTGATACAGAAGTTTATTAGTCTGAAAATTAGCCCTGGCAAAAATTAGCGGTGGTGAAACTGCTGGGTCTCACACGAGCATGTCTGCCTCGGTTTTCCTACCGTGTAGCTGGCTCCTGCTTAGCTGGAAGTCAGATTACGCCCCAGGTAAACTCGAAAACGGAGGTCGCCAAGTTCACTTCCAAAATGGCAAACAACCACCCGTTAATCCCTCTGAGTTACGTATTTTGAAATGGGGTTTGTGCACTCTGGCTGTTTTCGCTGCTGATCCATCTCTGATGGAATTTCATACAGTAGTATCAAACAGAGAACTGTAGCTTTTAGCTGATGGAAAGAATAAAGATCTCCAGATGCCTTGGCGTGTATGCAGCATTTAGGGACTGTCCTGGCAATACAGTAACCAGACTTTTTAATTAAAAAGATAATTACACTCACTTTTTTTTTTTTTTTTTAATCTTATATTGCATGGATCCAAGCCAACAGGTATTTTTATTGGGAATCTGAGGCGAGAAGTTATGAAAAGCTTGGCTTTCAAATAATAAACCTGCAATAGTGGATGAATTCCACAGTGAATTATTCGACTCAGAGCTGGGGGATACGTTGGGTCCTTTTCATTCAGTCAAAGCACGTCTTGTTTCCCATCGGGCCTGGGATAGACAGCACCTCGTGTGACCTGGAGCAATCCCAGCAACGCCCATCCCCAGCAAGAAACGCCCCAAATATCCTCCAAACCCACCCGAGGAGGCTCACAGCCTCCCTCCAGAAGTCAGTCGTTAATTTGAGATTTCTTTCCAGTCTCAGACCACCCTTGCTTGGATCCCAGCCTCATTCCGGACCAAGGTGGGAAAGAACTCCATCACTATCACCAAAGAAAATATGTTGCAAAATCCCCGGAGTAGCTTTTTATTTAAAATGTTACTATCATAAAATTCCAGACTATGAAATGAAGACCTCGGATTCCCATTCAAGCCTTACCCCCCCCCTCCCCCTTTTTAAAATATATAGATACATAATCACAGAACATAAAACATGCTGCAATGATACAAATATATTTTTTGATACGGAAATTACAGTACATTGTAAACCATGAAAACAAATTGAGGCACTAGACTGTACATCAGTTCTGTTCTGCGCTGGCTGTGAAGCTGACAAGCTCGCCTTCAACGAACAAAAGGATATTTTTCTTTGTTTAGGGAACATCACTTCACGGGTCCTACCAAATGATGTGCTTTGTTGTGAGACGTCACCGGGGTCGCTGGTCCTTTCGGAACCACAACGCACCTACACAACATGTATCACTGCCACGATATGAAAAATAATCTTTTTATTGAATGTACAACCGAAAAGAAAAAAAAAAAAAAAAAGACACCCCAAACCCCAACAACCACCCGCTGGTTGTTATTAAATAAATAATTATTCCGTACAGTGGTGAGTTTATATTACACCGCATTGGCCATTGGAACAAATGAAGTTTAATAAATAACGCCCAGGAATGTCTCATTTACGCCTCCGTTCGTAGGTCTGTGCTGTGCTCCTTTCAGAGGACCCTGCAAAAAAAGAAAACCAACGAAGAAGCGTCGCGTAAAGCCCAGCGAGCCCAAGGGAAGGGCAGAGACCCGCACCCTGCCGGGGCTTCGGAGGCGAGAGGAGGGCCCCCTGCCCGACCCCGAGCTGCTTTGACGTGCTGTTCCCCCCCTCCTGGAGGCTGAAGGGCTGAGCAGAGCTTTCCACCTCTGCTCGGTGGAGCGCCGGTACCTCAGCGCCTCTTCACCTCCCAGGGACCCACCTCACTGACGGGGACCGAGCGCTCGGTGGGCCGAGGCTTTCTGCATCACCTTCTGCCCTGACTTGGCCAAGCTCAAGCCCTCCCTGTCCCCAAGCCCTGCACGCAGTGACACCCTTCGCCCGGAGCCAAGCGAGCCTCAGCCCGCCCTGCAGGCAGCCCCAAATCCTCAGGAACGTGCCTGGAAGCAGCAGATCTCTCCTCCTTGCTCTTCTAAAACGAGAGGGGAACCAGGGAGCCCCTCCTGGGCAGAGCTGACCCTAGGGTGACGCAGCTGTCACCGCAGGCGTCTTCGCTTGCACAGCACGTAATGTGCTGGCCTGGGGAGGGGGGGTCCAGCCCCGCGTCCTGCGGGGAGCTGGCCTTTTGGATCAGCGATGGGTTCGATTTAACAAGCCTTCACTTTTCACCAGGCTAAATAAATGCCAAGCGAGTCGAGCTGTCTTTCCCGGGATGGATGGTTACAGGGTCTGTACGCGTGACTGGTTTCCAGCTTCTCCCTCATCCCACAGGCTGCACAGATCCCCCCCAGTGCCAGGTCCTGTTTAACCAAACCAGGGACTGGGACACCAGCATCCCAGTTCCCTGCTTTGGCACACGAGGCTTTAAAGCGGTGTGAGCTCCTGCATGTTGCCTCGGGACTCGGGGGCTCCCTGCAGAAGAAAACCAGGGCACCAAGGAAAGGTCCTGCCCGGTTAAATGTCTTTCAGCAGGGAGAAGTGAGGACAGTCCTAGCACAAACTCCTGGTCTCGCTTTGGTGACACAATCCTTAGGACCCCTCTTCTCCTCCAGAGGAGCGGAAGCAACTTCCAACCCTTTTCCTCTCGGGAAATTGGGCAGAAAAGCAGAGAATTCTAGTTTTTCCTGCCAGGCAGGTATCACACAGCCCGACGGGGTAAAACGTCACGATTCCCCTGTGTTACAAACAGCACAAAACAGTACCCTGACTATACCAGCAATTTTGAAATTAGGGCAATAAAATCTTCGCCTTTTTAAACAGTTGCTGTATTTTACATTCTAATGTTAATGTAAATGTAATCCCAGCGGAAACCAAGCCAAATTTATTACTTTCAGGCTATTTACGTTTGTGATAGCAGATGTATTTACAGGTATTATGCATTTAATAGCTATTGCCACCACAGATAAAATTGTACAAAATTATTCATGATACATAGCAATTTGCAAAATGATGCAGAGAGCAGCATCGCTAGTCTGAACGGGGTTTAATTGAAAATAAAGAAGTTACTGACAACCATAATTGCAGAATATAGATCACAGCGTGTATCCACATAATATAAAGGTGTCAGCTAGTAATTTAACTTTTATCACCCATTTAACCAAACAGTGAGAACTGTTTCAGAGACATGAAATACATATTAGCAGGTTTTTCTTTTTTTTTTTTTAATTCCTATTCTGGGGAATTAACTGGCACTTTCTGGGTCGCAGTGAGGGATTTCCTCAGTGCAGCCCTACAGCCCAGGGAAGCTGGAGCCACCGGCAGCCTGCCGTTACCCACAGGGGCTGTGCACGTGAGGGAGGAGGATTCTGCCCTACGTGGATGCTGTGGGAAAGTAGCAAAGTCACAGCATCAGTTCAAAAGGTTAAAATGCTTGTTCCTTTTTTTTTTTTTTTTAGGCCAAATGAAAAGCTGGAAGAATCTGGGAACGTTTACCAGCTTGCCCTGCAGAACGAGGCGCTGTTAATGGCAGCTCTGCCGCCTTCTGCTCCAAGTTTGAGGAATAAATGACCTGACACGATGAGGATATCCCTTTGCAGGGGGAGATCCGGATTTGGATCACAAGCTTAAAGGAGCTTTGCTTCTCCAGCCTCTGAGTTTTTCTGGATGCATCAGTAAAATTTACTTTTTCCTTCTATTGGTACTTTGGGGACCAGCAGAAGATGCTGCTGGCAAGGACAGGGCACTAAGGAAAGCGCAGCTCAGACCAGCCCGAGCATCTCAAGCACTGGAGAGAAGCGGACCCTGAAATATAGGGAAGAAAAGTCCTGATCCCTTTTTAGAGAACTCTGGGTCTGCACTACGTAAGACTGCTCCTTCCGTCAGTGGGAGAGACCAGAGGCGCAACAGAATGAAGGCTGTCACCGAGTACCAGACCGAGTCATATACGTACCAGAATTTAGAGATCTTTTGCCCATAAGTCCAACAAAGGAGTCTGTTTTATGCCCTGAAAAAATATATTTGGGGGTGTTTGAGTACATTTTGAATAGGCAGGCTTTTAAGATAGCGTGTTCTCACGAGGAAGGCAGGCACAGGCTCCAAAACCATTCAGCTCAGACTGGTTATTCACACCACTCTCAGGCAATGGAGAGCAAACATCGGTCTGACTAAAAAAAGACTAAGCAGGTTAGACCAAGGCACAGGCCAGTTCGTGGACATCTTCTTATGAACTCAGATACTTTTTGGTTTGGAGTGGGTTTTTTTTTTAAGTATAATAGGAAAACAATGGCCAATAACTGATTCTTACACCTTTCCCAGTACAATTCCCATTGATTTCCACCAACACACGGTGTGGCTCTGTCTTGGTACAGCCTGCATCCCTGTGACACGTCTCTTCTACCTGTTGGTGGTTTTTTCTGTAGCATGGAAGAAAAATCTCCCTCGCAGGTGAGGCAGAGCCCTTGCTGGAGAGGAAGCCAGTGGGAATGTCTGGACATGTCTGAGCTAGACAGTCTGGCTCTATTTTTGGAATATTTATGAGTTAGATATTACCCTTCTGTCCCATTAGTGCTCCTCAAGGCACTGGATGTGTAGAGGATAAATTACTCCAAGTTTTGGCCTACAGCATGAGTCGGATACAGCGGTAGCTATAGCTTCAGGTAAGGAACGAAAAGGAGCTGTTCTTTCTCTAAGCTGACTTTCGAGGCAAACTCGGATATTTCTCTTTGGAGAGAACTTCGCTCGGCTAATTCATCTACGAAGCAAGACGGATGATCCTCAGACCTCACAGGTATCGACTCAAGCTGAAGCCATTTCAGAAAACTATGGTTTTTTTAGTCTGCAGGTTCTTTGGGATGATCTTTGTATCCGACTCTTTAATTGGGCTCCCAACACACAATCCTAGTGATAAAAACCCGGTGGCTCACAGACCACCGGGACAGTTTATCGATCTCTGTGGCCAGACGAGGTCTCACAGAACGCAAGATCATTTTACTTATTAAAAGCCTTCCGGCTCCTGCCTGAGCATCTGCAGATAAATTCAGCGAATAAAACTCTCACCGTGCAGAGCAAGGTGACACCAAGGTGACACCAAGCCGAGCAGGGCTCGCTCATTAACGGGGCAAGAGATGCTCGTCTGCGCGGCAGCACGGCATCACTCAGCCCCCGCCGTCCCCACCCGGACAGACGTGGTATCTCACATGTGATGGCGTGGGCTCTCCTGGGGCATCGTTCTCCGGGATTTGGGGAGTCACTGTTCTAATTTTCCAGATTTCGTCATCTTAATTGCTCCTCGCCGAGCCTGGCAGCAAGCCTGCCTTGCCTGGGAGGGAGGTTTATAGAATCCCCCCCGTGGGAAATAAGAGCGAGCTGCAACAGCCACACGTTAACGTGGCCCGAAACCCCAAAGCTCGTGGCAGCTGCCGCAGGATCGTGGCTGCACGGGGGGGTTCAGCCCTTTAACAGAGCATTTCTCCACCCCCCCCCCCGCTGCCAGTCCTCAGCTGAACCCAGTCACCTTCTAGCTAATCCCCTCAAGTACACTCTCTTCCCTATTTGAGTATCTTCTAATAATTAAAATATTTGCATTTTTTAACTTACTTTTGTGAGAGATCTGGCCGTATCCTGATTGGAAGAGGAAGGAGGAAAACAAAGGAAAAAAAAAAAACAGAGTTGTTGAACGAGGTTTGGCATATACATACGAAGCTACTGCGATGCTTTGAAGAATCAAATACAGAAACTACCCTACACATACTGCACTTAAGGGAAATCAAGGTGATCATTTACAGCCACGTTTCTCTTCAAAGATATTACAAAGACTTGTTTTTGCTAAACCCACACAATTTAGATATGTTTAGCTATCTTACATCAATTCTTGGGTCAGTAAACATATAGAAAACACAGCAATAATTGTCTACACCACCGATTTCCACACTGGGGCAATTCAGTGGCACATACACCGACCTGCAAATTATCGTGATGCACCTTTCCTGGTATTTAGGGGCTGTCACTGGTGTGCACTTAGCACTTTAATGCTGAGCCCACTCCTCTGATTGGTGAGTTTATCTGATACTAAACTTGGAAAAAAACCCCAACAACCCACACCACAACTTTTGAGAGAGTTTTAAGGCACTAAAACCAAGCAACACCCGCTGTAAAGCTTGGAACGGCACTGGAAGAGCCACGCGGAGAGGGGTGAGAGGGACCGAGCCCCCCGCCCCGCTCACCGGCATCCCGCTTGCCCATGAGGCCGAAGAACTGCTGGGGCCGGGGTCTCCTGGCCATCCTCTGCAGAAAGTGCTCCAGGGGCAGCGGCAGCTCCTCCTGCGGGGTGACAGCGGGCGATGCTCAGCGCAGACCCCCCCAACACCAATCACCCCCGCCCCGCTCCCGCAGCCTCGCCGGGGCTCACCTTCACCTGGTCACCATCAGACCAGTCAGACCAGTAGCTGAGGTCGTCGGTGGTTCCCATCTCCTCGGCCAGCCCCTGCGCCGAGGCCAGGAGGAGGAGGGCGAAAGCCAAGGGGAGTCTCATCGCCGCCTCGACGTCCTGCGGCGGGGGCAGAGGGTGAAGCACAGGCACCCGGCGCCCCCCCCCGGGGGGG